CAACAGGCTTACTATGGCATTGCATTACATAAGTATGGCCACAAGAGGACGCATATAGCACATAAATGAGCTCTAGCCAAGTAAAGGGTAAATTATACAGTCTTGCCAGCACAGTCAAAAACTTCTGTCCCATTCCTCTGCACATTTTATACATGACATGACTAATCATTTCAGTCATTTTAAACGGTCTGCCTCCCATTCCCAGTCTTCTCCTAAAATAACACAGATAAACAATGAGGCTAATAAATGCAAAATGCACAGTTTGTACGGCAAAGGTTTGTCTTCATGGATTATATTGATACCGAATTGACAAAAAGACTGTCGGCAAATCACACCCCTTATCTCGTGTTTTTAACGTTATGTGTTTTACGGACACTTTAGGAATTGTTAAAATATCGTGTTTGTTAAAGGGAGTTTGGCATAATGTTTTCCCGCGGCGCATGGAGCTTAGTTGAATTCAGAATGCTCTGTGCGTTGTTTTAACGTTTTGTTCACATTAAGGTTGATGCAGCTACGGATGACACAGAGAGCAGCCAGGCTGACTTCACTAATACCAAAGCTGAACTATTTACATTATATACAAATGCCCTCTGTATTTAAATCACTCAAGCCAGACTCATTAAGTATTTTGTTCCAATTTATTTAGATACAATCTCAAGCGTGGCTGTGGCTGTGGGTGCGGAGGGTGAGGGGGGCACAGGGGTGGGGGAGTGCGCCAGTGCCGAGCAGTGTCTCCAGTGTGCTCTACCCATGGGTGAAAGCCTGTGTAGAAAAGCACACACTCTTTACCGCACATCATTTCTCTATAAATCCCGACTTTGCGAGGAATGATCATTTTTTAAAACCAAATTACATTTTCACTGAAAAAAACCAAAATGATTTTAACATTTGTTGGGGTCTGTACCAAACAAACATCCTTTTTTACAACTGGAGAACAAGATTAGTAGGCCAGGGCATCAGAACTACAGTACTTCATCATAATGTTGATTTGGCACACACTTTCCCTTCTTTAAAAAAAGCAGTATGGTGGGCTCGCTGATATTATGCTACTAAAAATATTTAAAAGACCTACTTAGTTATTATATATTCTTTATTTTACTAACTATGTTAATCACCTTGCTTTTTCTTCCAGTAACGTCACTCTTTTCCACACAAGCCACTCACACACAGCTACTCTGCTCTGTGTCTCTCTCGCATACACACTGGCTTGCCCTGCCTCTCTCTCTTTTTTGAGCTCTCTGTATGTGTCTCTGTTGATTTTCTTCAGCAATACATTTTATTAAGTCACCCAAAAAGCACAACTCGCATTAGGATTTTTTCATCCACGATTCCGTTTTAATACCAGCAGGGGAACCGTGTGTGAATATCAAGGCATCATTGGCTAGTAATATGTCTTTTTAAATCAAATCTCGGCATCCAATTTGTAAGGCCAAGATCTTTTTATATAGGATTTGGTGTGATGTGTGTTTTCCTACATTTCCCACAGACTGTTTCCTGGCTTGGGGCTGAACACTCTGTGTTGGAGGATTGTGTGCATTCAGTCTCTGAACCTACAGACCTGAAAAATTTGATCCAGCACCACAAACACCTTGGGCATTTAGAGCAGCATGGTAAGTCACTTCCCATAACTACATCTATTGGGTTTCACTTTCATTATTGATGACAGAACTCCATGACAATCACGTATGTTACTGTCATTGTTTTTTCTGCAGTTCCACCTTCCAGCATGGGCGACAGCATCCTCTCCTCCCTCTCTGCAGTTTCCCCTAGCAGAGTGGCAAAACCTACAGAACAACCCAACCAATCAGATCCACTGCAAGGCCTCAGTGAGGAGACACACACTGTGTCATTCGTGGATGACGTAGCAGTTGAAATAATCACAGTGACCGATTACGCAGAGGTTGAATTAGGCACAAGCACCGACATCGAAGTAGTGATGGGAGAAAACTGCTGTGAGGGACCAGACACTAGCATAGTGGCTGAAGACTCGCTGGTAGTGCTTCCTGAGGAGATAACCAGGGAAGAAGAAAAAGCGGGAAGTGGTTCGACAAACATCATCTTTCCAGACGCTAACAAGGATGACTTTGCAGCCTCCCAACACAAAACCTGCGTTGGACCTCATGACTGCCCGGACTGCGAGAAGAAGTTTAAGTTTGCCTCTTCGCTAATCGCCCACAGGGTCATCCACACTGGTGAACGGCCACACCGCTGCAATGACTGTGGTCGCTGCTTCTCTTTCAGGCAGTCCCTGGACAGACACAGACACACACACAAAACCGGACGCAAGTACAACTGCATCATCTGCGGGGCGACCTTCCACTCCCTGTCAGCCCGCACAGAGCACAAGCAAACACACATGGAAGATGGCGTTTACACGTGCCATCAGTGCAATAAGAAATTTAACTGGGAGCTGGCACTCGCGAGGCACCTTAAAACTCACACTGAGGATCTCAACGCAAACAAGCCTACAGAGAGCCTTAAGGATGGGCAAGATGTTGATGTGGGTGGTGAAAGTGTCAGCCAGGCTCCTGCTGCTCTTGCTGAACCTGACAGCCAGGTGCAGGATGATAATGGTGATGGTGATCCTGAGAATGTGGAAGGTCAGAGCGGTGAGCGCCCCGCCTCTGAGCCTGAAGGCACGGCCTCTGAACTTGACAACAGAGTCATTTCCTTGGTGAAGGTCCGCACAAGTGGGCGCAAACGCAAACCGACCATGAAGATCCAGGTGATAAATTTACAGAGGCGCATGACCACTAAAAGAAGAAAGGAGATCACCAAGGCGAGCCCTCCAGAGCTGAAGCCTTTGCCTTTCAACTGGTAAAATGGTTTCCTTCATTTGGTTTGAGTTTATCACTGGTCTACTACATAGAAATAAGTATGTGATGTACAAAGCTCATATTTATTTTTGCTTTCTCATTAACAGCGCAGAGCACTCTTATGGGTCATCCATTGTCTCATCAAAGGATGGTGAGGAAAGTGAGTGTAGATTTTTTTTAAATGTTGTTATCTTTCTTGCAAATATTACATAACCAGAGAGATACGAAAGCCTAGACACTTCATTACCATAGAAAATCCAAGCAGTTGAAAATTACAGGCCAGAAATGAACTCCATAATAATAAAAGAAATTTGCAAACTATTTGGGAAATTATATCATATTGAGCAAATGTGTC